TATTATATTAAATAAAGTTTAACATGTGCTACGAGAATGGATCGTGCTTGTTTTGATGGACGCTAGATATGCACTACTTTGAGTACTGTTCAATTACTGTATCTATGAACTACCTCCACCTTTTAAGTATTTGCAGGGATAAATAATTTTCATACAAATGAAATTCATTTTTAGAACCTTGCAAATGCCTTTAATAAGAGTACCTTTCTACTTTTTAAAATAAATTTATTTACCTATTAAAAATGAAAATGCCTTTGGTAATAGTGCATATAAAAATCAGTGTTAATGATTTAATTATTAGACACTAATATATATTTTAATTCATTATATTATATAAGATATTTATTAAAAAATATTATTTTTTAATATAAAATTAAAAATAAATAAATTTAAAAATATAAATATTCATACAAAATGTAAAAATTAAATAAATTAATTATACTTATATTATATTTTAAAAACTAATTTAAAATAACTATTAAAAAATGTATTGAATCCAATTAGTGTGTATGTATCTTGCTCCTTTAACTCTTTCTATTGGCTTAATTTAATAAATGGCCTCTTAACAATTGACTTTTTTTTCCGTTATAGTTTGAAATCTTTATTTTTTTCAAAATCATGTATTAGCTTTTAAATTCGTTCTAATTCGGTCTAGTCAATACAACTTAGTTAATTAAATTGATGAAATTCTAGCTTTTTGATTGTATGGCTCCACATAAATTGCCACGTAAGTTGTCATTTAATTTAATAAGAAACTGTAAGCATTTTCCCTCTCATTTTTAAGTCATGTAACAATTTATATGCATGGTAACTTATATGGTGTGACATAATTAAAAATCTAAAATTTTGTCAATTTAATTAATTGAGTTGTGTTGAACTAGACAAAATTAAAAGAAATTTAAAATTTAATAGATGATTTTGAGAGAAAATAAAAATTTTAAACTAGGACAAAAAAAAGGTTAATGGTTAATAGACTATTTATTTATTAAATTAAGCCCTTCCTATTGGATGAAGTTTTCCTTGTGCGTCATGGATGAGTTCTTATATGAAGACAAACTACTCTTCTTCTTCTTTGATCTCTCTTTTTTAAGGAGTTCTGAAAGCTGTTAGGCATGGATGAGAGACTCCTTCCAGAAACAAGAGATAGTTTGACCTTGAGAGTCTGGGAGGAATCAAAGAAGATCTGGAGGGTTGGCTTTCCTGCCATGTTATCGCGAGTGTCATCCTTCGGAATGTTCGTTGTGACACAAGCATTTATTGGACATTTTAGTGAGCTTGAGCTTGCAGCTTATTCCCTCATACAGATAATCATTATCCGCTTCGCAAATGGGATACTGGTAAGAGATTAGTTGTTCATATTCTCTCTTGCTTTACACTAAAAAAAACTAAGCGCTTCTTAGAAAATTGTGTTTACTCCAGTTTTTACTATGTAGCAGGGAAACTGTTTTAGGACAGTTTAATTACAATAAAGGCTGATTTCTACTTCTGTTTCTTCATCTTCATGTTGCAGTTGGGAATGTCTAGTGCAACAGAGACTCTATGCGGGCAGGCATTTGGGGCAAAGCAATACCACATGCTAGGAATTTACCTGCAAAGATCATGGATTATCAATCTATGTGCAGCAACTATGCTCCTACCAATATTCACCTTCGCCGCGCCAATCTTCAAGTTGCTTGGAGAGGAAGAAGAAATAGTGAGCAATGTAGGGTATATTTCCCTATGGTTCATCCCAATTCTCTACTCTTTTGTCTTCAGCTGGACTATCCAGAAGTACTTGCAGACACAGCTTAGGAACAGGATCATCGGATGGTTGTCTGCAGCATCATTTGTGCTTCATGTTTTCTTGTCCTGGATTTTTGTCATCAAATTGAATTGGGGGATTCCTGGCGCAATGAGTTCATTGATCATTGCAACTTGGTTGGTGATAATTGGAGAGTTTGTGTACATCTTTTGGGGTTGGTGTCCCAATACCTGGAAAGGGTTCACTATAGCATGTTTTGCTAATTTGCTTCCCATGGTAAAGATCTCAATATCCTCAGGAGTGATGCTCTGGTGAGTTCCTTTTTTTTTTTTCTTTTGATACATCTTAAGTTAACTACTTGGCAATTTCCGAGGTAATTTGAATCTCGCACCTTAATCTCAACAGCTTGGAGTTATGGTACAATGCAATTCTAGTCCTCCTGGCAGGATACATGAAGAATGCCACAGTTGCCATATCTGCCTTCTCTATCTGGTAAAATTCTTAACATTTTTACAAATCACAATATAAATTCTCAATACATATTGAGAAACAATAGATGATGATATACTTGAAAAAATTAACGACATTGCATTGCAGCCTCAATATCAATGCTTGGGAATTCATGTTATGCCTTGGCTTGCTTGATGCATCCAGGTATGAATTCATCAATCACTTCAATTTCATCCATTGAATTCTTTCAAACTTCTCCATTACAAAATTTTGTTTGAACAGCGTTCGGGTTTCGAATGAACTGGGGAGAGGAGATGCCAAAGCTGTAAAATTTGCTATCAAAGTCATAGTATGTACCTCAATTTGTATTGGAGTGTTCTTCTGTGCTCCATGTTTGATATTTGGATATCAACTTGGTCACTTGTTTACAAGTGATGAAGAAGTAGCAGAATATGTGTCACAACTCTCTTTCCTGCTTTCCTTCTCAGTCCTGCTCAACAGCACTCAGTCAGTGCTCTCAGGCAAGTATATTTGAAAATTTGCATCTAGCCCAGGTTGATTTCAGCTTCTACTAAAGTTAAAATTACTGCAGGGGTGGCTGTAGGGGCTGGCAGGCAAGCTCTTGTAGCCTATATCAACATTGTTTCCTATTACGTCATTGGGGTGCCACTAGGAGCAGTTCTTCGATATGTTGCTAATTTGGAAGTGAAGGTTAGATAACATCCATCTTGCAAATAAATTAGGTTAGAGATTAACATGTAAGTAAATGAACACATGATTCAATAAATTTTGCAGATTTATCTTGTTTTTTCAAAATTTTCATGTACATATTTGATAATCCACTTTTCTCAAATTCATGCCCAACTTAATTGTCTCAACATTTAAACTCTAATTTAAAGTTTCAAACTATTACTAGTTGAGACGTCATAGAGGCTCCAAATTTTCTTTACAATAACAAATTTCCTTGATTTGATAGGGTATTTGGATCGGGATGACAATTGGGGTTGCAATTCAGTCAATAATACTTGGCTACATTACAGCAAAAACTAATTGGGAGGAACAGGTAATTTAAGAAATAGCATATCAAGTGATTTTATTTTTACCTTTCCTAATGATATTCAAATTACATGTTATTTCCATGAAAACTTTATGATTTTCATTTGCAGGTAAACAAAGCATCAGAACGGTTGAATAAGTGGCTCTTGAGGCCTACAGGTGATTCTGAAGGAAACCCAGATCAAGAAAGAATAGAAGGATAAACAACAATAGAAGAAAAATGTGTACGCACGAAAAGATTAGAAAAATCACATTATGCTTTATAAATTGCGGATGGTCACCTCCTCAGCATATTGTATGCTGGTAAATATTTAACAGTAGGGATGTCTTCAAGTGCAAGCTCGCGCTCTAACTCTGTTCTTGTAGACTTGAGAACATCCTGGAAAAATGTAAAGACGTATAACGTCATAACTTAAGGTTTGATTAGGAAATAAACACAGGGAATGAACATGATAGCTTGTTGTGCTTTACATTGAATTCCATATATGAAGCCCGTTTTGTAAGCCATTGAGCATCCATCATCTGAAATGCCACACAGTATAAGTGGTCAAATGTGAGAGGATCTTCCTTGATTAGTTCTAGAAACCGGATTCCTGCATCAGAAGATGGCCGTCTTGCAGGTAAAATATAACTATGGCATTAGAACTTAACAAGGAGTCAATGACCAAAGAATATAATACGTAAAACAGTCAGAGCAATTAATATGACATCTCTTTCCGGTTCCGGTCAATAATTAGGTAATACCAGCAATACAGCTGAGCCTATTGTAGTAATGAGAATAATGTATGCAACGTTAAATGTCAAATTAAACCACTTAGAAATTTTCATACCCGATTGAAGATCCAACATCTGAACCAGCATAAAAGAAATGTTGATACCAGCTACTGCAAATGGATACTCCCACTCAGCTCTGTTTCCATCTTTCTTGTGCAACAATCTCTGAAATGATTCCTGTCAAGTGCAAACCAGCAAATGGTTTTATGAATCCACACATAAGGCTTAAAAACACTTGTACATCATGAGTTACAGTTAAGCCTCCACAATCCACATGAATATAAAGATTATCTTTTTTTGCCTCTAAGCTATCTCTTGTTTAAGAGTTATAACTTAAATGCTTGACAGGTTAGAATCTACAGCTCGTTTTGGTTCTTTTCTAGGCTATTGACTCTGCAGGTTGCTCAATCTGATTCTGGCTGCTAAGTAAGTTTTATGTTTTACCTAACATCCATTGTTTTTCATAGGCTTGTGTGGAAAAGTAGGGACTCAGTTAAATGCATAATATTTTTTAATTTGTGAACCATGTTATAAAAAGCAAGTGAACAAACCGGATACTCCTTAGCAAAAATATGAGATTATCCAATGATATAAATCCTCCACCCCTTCAAATAGCATTTAAATGAGAAATGAGTGAATGTTTGGAAGATCAGCAAGCAAAGAGAACCAGATTCAGGTAACTGCTTCACATACCGAAGATCTGTTGAAGGATCTGAACCTTGCCATCCCATATCCTTCCAGAGCTCTGATTTTAGAGATGGAAGTTCCCTATTAGGATAAGCCAACCTCCATAATTGCTTCAGAGCATCCTGCAATTCAAAGAAGAAAAAATTACACGCATACAAAACAACAACACAATAATAATAGTATGACCACTTAAAACAAGGTAATATAATGCCATATTGTATTCA